AAAGAGAGTAAAAGGAGAGTTCGGTGATCTCTTGGACAAATCACCCTCTAGGACGCCAAGATAGGTTCAGCTAGGAAGGGGAGGAACAAGGGAAAACAGGAGCTTTTCCCCGTGGACCGACCCGTGACGAGATCCTATTCCCGGGCCCATAACAGGCGTGCACCTCACCTTGCACCTTGCGCCTCAGGTGCAAATTGACCTCTGCGCCTTTTTTGTGCCTTGCGCTTTAAAACACTGTAGTAATGGTCTAATAACGTTTAAGACAAATTAAAAACAAAGGCCTTTCAAAACCTGAGGCCTTGGTTTTTGCAAATAGGATTTCAATAGATTTGCACTGAAGAAATAACAATAATACAACTGATATCTGATATCTAATCCTAAAATAGAATGAATTGTGACTAAAATCACAAAACCAACCCCTTTATACATATGGGCCAAGTGTACTTGTTTAAGCTTGGCTCAAGGGGCCTTTATGAAGGTGGAGGGCCAATCTCCTAGGGCTAGGATTTAGGAACTCAAGATGTTTAAAAACACACTAGCCATTTGAAGTAACGCAAGTAGGAGAAAAATAAACCAATCGAAAGTTTAACATGCTTGAATTGTTTAGTGCTTGAAGCACTTTGGTGTAATTCACATATGCTGTTTTTATGTGTTTCATATGTTATTTCAATCCTCATTTTGAATTTGTTTCATATTTTATTTTTGTGACTCAATTTGATTTAATAGGCTTTTTAAGACATTTAATTTCTTTAAGTATTCATGTTTGCATTTTTTATGTATTCTTGTTTTTTAATTTTCAAAATTGTGTGTTGCTTCAAGAAGATGTGCCTCACCATGCATCTTGGGTGCCATAAGCCCTTGTTTTTTCTTGTGTGTTGTGCTTCGAAAACACTGCCTGGATGTCTTAAATTGGGGCTGTTAAATGGACTCTGAAAGCCCAAAACCGATCTGACATCCAATCTGATTATTTCAGATATCCTCCTCCTCCTCGTCATCATCCAAGCCTTATCCCATCTATATGGGGTTGGCTACATGAATCCTGTTTTGCCAGTCTGTTCTGTATAATGCCATATCCATTGTATTAGTAATCGGATTGGATCTGGATTTGACCCCATCCAAACCCGATTAAAATTTGTTATATCTATTTATGTAGAATATAATAATGTATTTATATAGATATATAACTATATAGAGTTTATAATTAATAACTTCAAAATTTTACATTTATAAATTTATTATACAAGGTAAAGATAATTATTTTTACAGCTTTTTAAAATTTCCTGATTTCAATGACAACAAAATGGGCTAATCCAAGATTCCTAGTCAGATATTTCAGATTTTGGATCAGATGCAGATTTGAGGTTTCAATAATCAGATCAGATGCGGATTTGGATGGATCCCACCCAATTACAGCCCTAGTCTTAATGTTATAAGGTTGAAAAATCATTGATGCAACTTGATGAATCACTTTTAAGCTTCTACCAACATGACTTGCAAATGCATAGTCTTAATGTTATAAGGTTGAAAAATCATTGATGCAACTTGAATCACTTTTAAGCTTCTACCAACATGACTTGCAAAGGGGCATGCAACCTGGGGGAATCAGAATACCTTTGCCGTTCATGTCCTGTGAATGCTGGATCAAAAGGAATATGGATATGAATTTGATGAATATTGACTTATTTACGAGTCTCCTTTTGATGATTAGATTCCAACGTGCTAACTTGTCTTTGTTTCCAGATTGACGTGGGTGAAGAACTGGGGTTTGACTACCGCTACAAGTTTCCTGGACAAGGACAACCTTGCCATTGTGGCACTCCCAACTGCCGGGGCCGCCTATGTTAATTTTATAATGGAACTTCATGATACCCCCCAATCCAGAACAGGTGTCTGGAATTCTTGGTGGAGCATAGAACACCAACCCGATTTGAAAATCCTGGGAGAGAAGAATAATCACCTCTTCCTTCCCCTAAGCCGGACACAGGAAAAACTTGATTTGCAGTAGATCCACTACCACGATTGTATCATTAGAATCATGTCAAACAAGCTTTTAATTCATGTTTAAGACAGTAATAAAATTATTATTCTTTCCCCACAGAGATGGCCTAGAAGCTTGCTAAATCTTGGATATTCTTGTGTACATTAAAAATCTTTTCAATATAAAAAGATTCCATGAGGTGTTGATTTGTTTTCTTATTTTGACAGATGGTCCATTTGGTATTGGATTTTGGGAGAGTATCACTTCATGCTATTAGGTGATTAATATGAAATAGCTATTGATCTCTTCCCGCTGATTCCTGAAAGTATAGGGAGAAATTTATAGGTGCTTCAAAAACACACATGATCAAATAAATAACACTTCTATGCAGTAAAGAAAGCTCAAGAATCTATTACATCGTTAAGTTGGATTGTTTCAACATGCACCATCTTTTGTGTTTGGTAAGCATATAAAAAAGTTAACGAAATCAATCATCTAGGATTCTAGATCTAAACTCATACTTCATTGGAAAATATACATCAATTAATATGTACATATATTTCAACAAACCGTGTAAAAAAATAATGGTTCCAAATTAAAAAAAAGGAAAAAAAAGAAAAAAAAAGCGTTCTAGGATCATTCATTTCCGAAGTGAAAAACAAAAGTGGATGCTGTTGGTGGTTTCATCCCCCAAATGACAGTTACTTGTATCCTGCTTTAAGTTGTATCTGTACACTAAAAAAGTTTGTGGAATGAAAGCTGGAACCTTGAGAAATTCAGCTCTTGTCAATTACCTCAGCAGGCAAATTGAGATCAAAAAGGTCATCACCCAAAGCTTGTTTCCTGGCACGTTTTCTAGAACATCCAATCTCATCTAAATTCGGGGTCCCAGGAAAAGGCCGACCAAGTTCTATTCTTCCTCCTGTATATTACACGTGTCAGTAGCTTTTGAAGGACTGTCTTATTTAATCTTCAAATTCGCTTCCAGTTACACTAGAACCGAGAGAGAAGTAATTATGGAAAATTTTAATTGAAATTATGGACAAATCAGTTAACTATTAGGTCAAGAGAATTGGATACCAATTAGACCCAGCTGAGAAAAAAAAGTTTTTTTTTTTTTTTACCAGTTCTATTTATGCCGGAATCTGATGGTGTATGGTTATCAGCATAATCGGCTTTTGTGTTCCAGCAACCAGAAAGCTCTGTCGCTCTCTCAACACCCTTTGATCTGTACGGAGCTATGTTATGGATAGCAAACTGGGGAGAACCCAATAAATCATTCTCAATGCATTCGTACCTGCACGTGTTGTCGGTAAAAAGTTAACTGACATGATGCATGAATCCAAGGCGAACTCAGGGCTAAAACAGTTGAAGCTCACATTTTCTTGCACAGGCTATCAGTGATCACGGAGAGATCGATGACTTGCATCCTTATCTCCATGATTTTGCCCTCAAGATACTCATCAAACGGTTCTTCAATGAACTCAGAGAGCTTCTCTACATTTGCCTCAAGCTGCTGCTGCTGGTTCTCGAATAGATGCTGTTTTATTTCTCTTTCCTCCTTGGACATCTCATCCTTGAAAAGGATATCCCCAAACATATAATATGCAAACGGGTATGAGTATGAGAGAACTCGCCTACACCTGAAGAGCCTATTAAGTCCATTTGTAACCCAACTGAAATCTTTCAGTGTTGGTTGCTTGCTTTCTGAAATAGAAATCTTATCCTGTATGATTTCCTTGAGCATGGTTTCTAGTTTAAAGGAATCTGTATGGACTTTGTATCGGTTATAGTAATGCATGTACCGATGTAGGTCATGCTTTGCATGCTCAACTCTCTTTGCATTATCATCCTTGTATCGACCACAGCTATGACCATTGATACTTGACCATGTATGGTCCGGGCCAGTAGCTCCACCACATAGCCAACTGCACCAATATCAAGAAACAATGAGTATCAATTTTGATTCCAGTCAAACAAAATCCTAAAAGCAAGAGAGGTAGTAGCTGATGGTAGAAGTTTGCGATTAGATGCAGAAAAAATGAACACAAGAGGCACTAGATTGTCATATGCCAACCTAATAGGGAAAAAAAGCATAAACACAATCCCTCCAGAGAATGCACCATGGTTCTGAGCTAGATGAGCCACAGATGGGGCTGGGAGCCCTAGATTGCTATTACGTATAACATTATAACATTGATTTCTTATGTAAAATATCAAAACCATCATCTTTATAAACAATTATAAGGGTCCTCGCTTAAAGTTGGTCATTGTCATGGAGGATCTTTGTAAGGGGTGAACCAGATATGGACCTAACTTTTGGCACTTTATTGTAAGGCCGGTAAAAGTGTTGGGGTTCATTTGGTTTGCAGGAATATGGGTCTGAAATCGGAAACGGAATGATCCATTCTGGTTCCAACAATTTGGTTAGGTGGAATTGGAATTCGATTCCCATTCCTGGTGGAATGGCTTTCCCCCTTAGAAGAATAGTTTTTTTTTTTTGATTGATGAAACTTATAATGTATTAAATTAAAATAAGTGATAAAAACATTACAAGTTTAATTTAATGACCATAACATCAGCTCAACAACTGACACTATGTTACAAAGATGCCCAAAACAATTGCTACTTATCTACTCCTTGTTTAGCAAGGGAGTCAGTTAGCTCATTTGTGCTTCTTCTAACCCACTTAAATTCAGCATTCAGCTCTCTTGCAGCCCTTTCTACTTGAAAGCATTCTTGAGAATACAGGGAATATGTCTGTTATTTCTTGCCCAAGAGATGATAACTTTGAAATACCCTTCCACCTCCACTTGTTTGAGGCCCAGCTGCTTAGCTATCCTGAGACCTTGTAGAAAAGCTAATAATTCAGCTTTAATGGATTGGCATGATATGCCTAACAAACAAAGGAACTTCCTATCCTACTCTGAGCTTCAAAGGAGCTTCCTATTCCTACTCTGAACTTCCTATCTAAAAGCAACCTAAAAGAATATTTTGATTGGCATGGTATTTCTCTTTATCTAAGGACTAGAATTGAGCTGGTCCTACATCACCTTGTAACTTCAATTTGAAGAAAGTATTTGAGCTTCCCAATTAATCTGTTCCCTTAATAATTTTTCTTTTTTATTTATCTTCAAAAAAGGTATTTGATCTTCCTAAGAACTTTGATATCAAATTTGGAAGCAAGAAATGACTTTAGTTGGACTATTTCAAAGCTATCATCTCTAGTGACAACAATGTTTATTAATATACACTATCAGTATAGTCACTAGGCCACTAACCCTTCTTATGAATAGAGTACGATTTGCTTGTGATTGAGTGAACCCAAATTTAAGAACAACCTTTCTGAACTTGTCAAGTCAAACTAAGCTCTAGGAGACTACTTGAACCCATAAAGGGATTTTTTTAGGCGACAAACCTTCCCCTCATTGTTAGGGAAGCTTATGCCTAGGGGAAGATCCATGTAGACCTCCTCTTGAAGATCTCCATTGAGGAAGGCATTCTTCACATCCATCTGGTATAAAGGCCATGAATGGTATGCAATAAGAGAAAATCACTCGGATAGAGTTCTTTTTGGCCATAGATGCAAAGGTTTCGTGATAGTCAATCCCATATGTTTGGGTGTGCCCTTTTGCCACCAACCTAGCTTTGTATTTTTCAATTGAGCCATCAGCCCCGGTGTTACTCCCGCTTGCAACCCACTAGAACTTTACCATTAGGAAGTGGATCAATCTCCCAAGTTTGGTTCTTTATGAGGGACCTCTTGGTTCATAGCATCCTTCCACTAAGGAGATTGCACTACATTTCTAACATTATGAAGAAGAGAAATAGAGGAAATGATAGAGATATGGGCATAGTAGGAAGGTGAAAGGGCATCATAAGAAACATGGTGATGGGATAGGCAATGCGTTTCCTTTCTCCTTTTCGAACTGCACTAGGAAGGTCAAGGTCAGGTTGTGAGATATAAGGCTCAACAAAAGTAGGAATAGGAAGCTCAGCGTCAACAGGAGTCTCAGGTTCAAGGTTTCTTTTAGAAGTACCTAGAGCGAGGTGGTTAGCTTATTGTGGACATTCAGCCTCACAAGTAACCTTCCTTTTGTGCCTTATGAACCACTACCGCTAGGACAGCTGCTGAGGAATAAGGGGAGGAGCATCCACAAGGGCAGGAACAAAAACAAAGTCATGAACAAAGTAGCTACAACCAAAGACTTTGAGAAAAAGACAAAAAATGGGATCATTAGGGAAAACAAGTTGATGAGGAGAGGAGATTGAAGGTGAAGAGTTTGTGAAGGAAGTCTGTTAATGAGATACACTGTTGCTTCAATTACATTTCCCTAGAAACGAGTGGGCACATGCATTTGGAAGAGTAGCCATTTGGCAACTTCAACCACATGTTTATTTTGTCTCTCTACTGCACCATTTTGTTGTAGAGTATGGGAACATAAGCTTTGATGAATTGTTCCTTTTTCTTTAAGAAAGAGGCATAGATGCTTTTCAAAGTACTCCTTAGTATTGTCAGACCTTGCTATCTTGATATTCTCAAATTGAGTTTCTACCGTTCTAAAGAATTTTTTAACAATGGATGGGAGTTCATCTTTACTCTTCATCAGATAAAGCCAGGTGTATTGAGTGTAATCATCAATTAATATGATAAAGTATTTATAGCCACCCTCAACATCGATATGTATCAAATTGAAAGCAACATCACTTTTCCTATTACTCGAAAAATATGTAGTTCTACATTGCTTTGAGAGATGTCGGACTTCACATTGCAGACTCAACTTGGACATAAACTAACATAAGTTTGGAAACAAAAACTTAATAGACTACATATGACCAATGTGATAATGCCATACCTTCAAAAGACTCAAATTTTCACCTTGACATGATTCGGTTTGGCACAATAATCCTTGCTTAGGGGCTTGATAAAAAAGGTAAACTCTATCAGTTTCATGTCCAATTCCAATCGTCTTCTTCGTGCTTAGGTCTTGGAAAACACAATGTAAAGGAAAATATGTCACTGAACAATTATGGTATTTGGTAAGGGAGATAACAAATAAAGAATTTTTGTGCAACTAAGGAACATAAATGACAGAGCTCAGGGAAAGATTACGAGTGAACTTGATTTCACCCAGGCCTGAGATTAGAGTTTGAGATCCATCAGCTACAGTGATCTTATCTTTCCCTAGAGCCAATTTATAAGAGGTGAAGTGGGAAGACATACCAATCATGTAAGCACTAGCTCCAAAGTCCACAATCTAGGAGCTAGGAGAGGAAGATTCACAAGCAAGTGCAATACCTGATTTAGTAAAGGCATTGGAAGGATTACTAGTGCCAACTGAGGTATAGGTCCCCAACCTCTCAAGTAGAGTCAATAGTCTCCTAAGTTTCTCCATCGCATCAGAGGAATCATGTGAAGGAACCTGAACAGTAGGAGATGGACAATCAATTCCCTTGTAGCAAGATGAGCATTTCCCTTTTTCGTTGTTTTGAACTTCTTAGGCTTCAAATGTGGATTCATCTTCCAAAATTGGCCCTTAGTGTATTTGGGCTTCTTGCAGTACTCACACACCACCTCACCAGTCTTCCCATTAACACCCTATCTGTTTACAATTTACTTGGGTTTAGAGGATATATAGGCCGAATGTTTAACTACTGAAGTCTACATCATGGCAGCCCTCCTACTCTCCTCCCCCTGATGCATATTTTTTTTTTTGATCAATAACACCATCTTCATTAAATTAAAAGAAGAGAGGGAATAAGGATACAAAGGGGGAGATAAAATAACTTAGCTCCCCAAAAACA